GGGGGGCAGGGGCGCAGCTCGGGCCGGGGGATTCGTGACCTCAGGGTGGAAGAAAAGAAAAGAAAAAGAAAAAGAAAATCCCGTTAAAACCCCATCTTTCCTCAGGAAGTCAAAGTTTGAATTAAAACACGTGCTGCTCTGCAGCTGAGGAGCTTGTGCCTGGGGTGGCTCTGCTGGGCCGGGCGCCCGCGGCCTCAGCGCGCAGGCACTGAAGAACAAGTTACAACCACAGAATCATAGAGTGGTTAAGGCTGGAAGGGACATTAAAGATCCTCAGGTCCAACCCCCCTGCATGGGCAGGGACACCTCACACCAGGCCAGGCTGCACCAGCCCCATCCAACCTGGCCTTGAAGACCCCCAGGGAGCGGCTTCTCTGGCCTTGAACACCTCCAGGGAGCGGCTTCCACAGCCTCCCTGGGCAGCCTGTGCCAGGGCCTTCCTACCCTCATGGTGAAGAATTTCTTACTGATGTCTGACCTAAATCTCCCCTCTCTCAAGTCTAAAACCATTATCCCTTGTCCTATCACTTTCCTCTCCAGTGAAAAGCCCCTCCCCAGCTTTCCTGTAGCCCCTTCAGGCACTGGAAGGGGCTGTAAGGTCTCTTTGGAGCCTTCTCTTCTCCAGGCTGAACATCCCCAACTCTCCCAGCCTGTCTTCATAGCAGAGGTGCTCCAGGCCTTGGATCATCTTCGTGGCCCTTCTCTGGACCCTCTCCAACAGCTCCATGTCCTTCCTGTGCTGAGGACACCAGAACTGTGCACAGCACTCCAGGTGGGGTCTCACCAGAGCAGAGCAGAGGAGCAGAATCACCTCCCTGGCCCTGCTGGCCACACTTCTTTTGATGCAGCCCAGGATGCAGTTGCTCTCTGGGCTCCAGCTCACACTGGTGGCTCATGTCGAGCTTCTCATCTACTGTCACCCCCAAGTCCTTCTCAGGACTGCTCTCCAGCCATCCTCCCCAAAACCTGTATTTGTGCATGGAATCACACCAACCCAATATATATACATACATGTATATATAAAAGAAGGACTTTTTTTTTCATGTGTAAATATATATATAAGAGGCCACTGATATGATGGGCAGAGGGTAGGTATCATGTCAACTAACTTCACAGTGCTGGCCCATGTGGGAAGGGACTCCTGCATGGAAATTTACTGGTTCCAATTCCTCGCTCCAAGTAACAAGAACACCATTTATCTTTTTTTCTTTCTTTCTTTCTTTCTTTTTTTTTTTTTTTATTTTCTTTTTTTCCCCCTCTTCTGTTATTTTTAATTCTTTCTTGGACAAGTCAAAAGAGACAGGACCTTCCAAAGCAAAAGCTTTGCACAGCCAGGCCTGGCAAGGGCCATCTACCTCCCTCCTGCCTAAGGTCCCTCTGCCTGCTTCCATGGCTTTTGCTCCCTACAGGTTGCCCTTTCTCTGCATCTTCCAGACTCTTCCAGCTAGTGAGTCTTAAGTCTGAGGTTTTTCTGTCTTGTTTGCTTCTAGACTATTTTCTCATCTGTTCAAAAGCTTTGGGAGAGTGTTTTTCCTGATTTACTCAGGTCTCGGTTGAACTCAGCTGTGAAGGCTGATACAGTGAAAAACCAGCATTGCACTTGTCATTTTGTTGGAAAGCACACCTTGGGACCCTTTCCTAGAGGCAGAATGCCACAGAATTTAAAAAGCTGTAGCTTCTCTTCTGGCTTTCAGGTTACACAGGTGGGTAACAAAAGCCCTGGAGCTGTCCTTGTAGCACACAGCATCCAGAACAGGGGCCACAAACTGGATTCCCACAAACACAGTAAACAATGATAACATGGCTATAGATGCTCACCTGTACCTACTTCACATTTTTATGAATCCACAGAAAATGATCCAATAAATGTTGTGCTGTGAACTGCTGATCTAGAATGTTTTGCAGGCAGCAGATAATTTATAAACATATATTTAAAGGCCTATTTATCTCCAAACCAATTTGGGATGAAATTGTTGCTGCTCATTATTTTCTGCTGGTACCTTATTTTGTGGCATTTCTCCTACAAAGCTCCCTGAACATTTTATTACAGAATTCAAGATGATGCAACTAATGTGACCCATGTGGTACAACGTTACCTGTCTTGGAGGGGTAGGGGGCTAAGCAGATATTCAAAAAACTGTTGTTAAATGAAATCTTCATAGGAAGAAATACCTTATTGGTCTGGATGGGTTGTATCAATCACACTTACCCCTTTACTTGAAACATGAGGCAAGATGCTGTCTTTCTCAAAACTGCCTAAAAGCAATCGGATTTTAAGAGCAGCTTTAAAATATGCTTCCTTTCTTTTATTGGACTTACTGTTACAGCCCATAAACATTTGAGGTCAAGAGCTCACTTCCTTAAAGTATGCCAAATGGGATTAGTCTTGAACTCCTGAGAGAAGTAAATATTAGGTGGGAAGTGATGTTTATTTATTTCATATGGGGGGCATCATGATTCTCATTGGTAGCTTGTTGTTCACATAATTAGTTCCATTTAAGTCACTGCGGGATTTTTATTGTCTGTCGCACACTGCGGGTTTGTTACAGTAAATGCTAAATGACAAATGTTAATATAGTTTAAAAAAAACCCAAACCTTAGAAAGAGACTCCAACCTCCAAATGACTCTGCATCCTGTCTTTTTCTCTGTGCCCTTTTAAGTCCTTTCCTCCCCAAAATGAGCACTGGGAATACAAACGCATCTCGCCACATGAAGTCAGCATTGCCAAATCAGTCGGACTCAAGGGGATGGGGCTTTGGGGAGTGGTGCCTGACTGTGCCTCCCTGCCAGTTTCTTGCTCCACTACTTTCTTAACTTGAGAAGCTGGTTTTACAGGCCAGCAGACTGCAGCACTTGTTGGGTAAAGTCCATGCCACAGGCTGGAAAAGTTGCCAGTGTTGCTCCGGAGCACATTGACTCCACTGCCTATTTGCTCAGCGGGTTGGAAGCCCCGAGGGAACAGAGGTCAGTGCAGCTCTCATCCCTGCACCCATCTTGTCTCTCTCCAGCTGAGAGCAGCTAGTGACAGCTGGGTGTCCCATTGGGTCTGCAGAAGCAGTGGCAGAGACATACATGTGCCCTGAGTGAAGGCTCTGGCGCAGGACAAAATCAAGCAGATAACAACACTGGTCCGGTGGAAAAAAGCCCAAGTCAGCTGGTAAGAAACATGGCTCGTTTGTATGCTTTCCTTGGAGGATGAGGTGAGCAATTCCAGCAGGATAGTACTGTATGTGTAAATGGGCTTGTCAGCCTGTTCAGCACATATTTGGACACCAAAGCTTTTGCAATGCACAAAGAATTGTCCCAAGGAAATGAAGATCTGGGCTCCAATATTTGGAAGTATAATTGTGCTTGGTAATGAAGGGTTAATTCAGCTTCTGCCTTTCCTGCATGTGCATTTCTTTCACTGGGGAGGCCAAGTATTTAGGACCCTCCCACACTGGAAGCAAAATTATGCTCAGCATGCCTAAACATGTTTTGTTTCTCAAAGTTTTTAAACTTTATTTCCTTGAACAGTAGCAGCAGAGACATTTTGTCTGGGAGCCATGTTAGAAGAACAGGGAAACAACCAGTCCCGTGCACTTCAAAAATGCAGGTGTATTTGAATGT